ATGAATCAACCAGTTGTCTATGTCTTCAGGAGGACCATGAAATAGCATGGTTAAATATACATCTCCAGCCTGAAGCAATTAGTAATATTTACTTTCCATCCAATTTGATCCACGATTATCAACCCATCCAATCTGATGACTTGATTCACAATTATCAACCCATCCAATGTGATGAGTTGATCCACAATTATCTACCCATCCAATTTGTTGATTTGCTCCCTGTCAACCCATCCAATGTGATGGCTTGATCCACAATGATCAACCCAATAACGCTTCTTGATTGGATCTGGGGGATCGAACTGAAACACTTTCAATGATAATTCTGACTGAATCGTCTTTGAGATCCCCAAATCTCCAAATCGATTTTTTTTCATGCTGCTCTAGGACAAACCACCTCCTTCATCACCTATCCTTTAGGAAGAAAAGCAGGCTAACCCCCTCCCCCAAAAGATATGTCAGGTATGCCATGAGAAATAACCAATTTGGTTTTTTCCAGACACTCCCTGAAATAAATGGGCAACCCTCTCCAGTTAAAATGACCACCTTTATGATATGTCCCTTTTCATCAGTCTCAGTAAATTCTTCTTACATTTTCCCTCTAAAAAGGATGAATGAACTCCAAGGGGGTGGAGAGATTGGCGTTCCTTCAGGGGTGAAATCCAGCAGGTTCTGGAGAACCAGTAGCAGAAATTTTGAGTAGTTCGGAGAACCGGCAAATACTACCTCTGGCTGACCTCAGAGTGGGGTGGAAATGGAGATTTTGCAATATCCTTCCCCCAGGAGTGGGGAGGGAATGGGGATTTTGCAATATCCTTTCCCTGGAGTGGGTGGGAATGGAGATTTTGCAGTATCCTTCCCCAGGAGTGGGGTGGGAATGGGGATTTTGCAGTATCCTTTCCCTGGAGTGGAGTGGGAATGGGGATTTTGCAGTATCCTTCCCCTGGAGTGGGGCGGGAATGGGGATTTTGCAGTATCCTTCCCCTGGAGTGGGGGAGGGGAAATGGAGATTTTGCAGTATCCTTCCCCTGGAGTGGGGTGGGAGTGGAGATTTTGCAGTATCCTATCCCTTCCACGCCTACCAAGCCACGCCCACAGAACCAGTAGTAAAAAAAAATTGGATTTCACCACTGCTTTAACGGCTACTTTTGAGGACAATAAACGAAACATTTCAGACAGGGAAGATAAGATGCTTTGAGAGAGGCGTGAAGGAATCCATTTAGGCTGAAACGGAAGAAATCCTTCCCTCAATAGGGACGGAGGCCTCAGACAAAACCTGTCCCCCAGTTTTTTATGCTGCTCGGGCATCAGTCCCCAAGAGAATCAAGACCAGTTCACAGCATTCACCAGGAAAGTCACACTTAATGATCCACCTAAGAGAAGGATTTAGGACAGGGGTCTGCAACCTTAAACACTCCAAGAGCCATTTCAACCCATTTCCCACAGAAAAGAAAACACCGGGAGCCACAAAACCCTTCCCTTGACTGACTATTTCTTGAGCAGCCACAAAACTAGCATATGTAGTTGAATTAAATGCTCTGTTTTCTTCTGAAATTTTTCTTTTCTTGGATTTATCCATTGTTGGCCTGCCAGGGGTTGAAAAGCTCAATAAATAGCGTGCCAGCGGATGTCACACATTGGTGGTTGTGATGCATGTTTTGAGTGACAGGGAGCCACAGCAGAGGGGTGAAAGAGCCACATGCGGCTCCAGAGCGGCAGGTTGCTGACCCCTGATTTAGGAGTAATAGCTCTCTGCCTACTCATCTAAAGGGCCCATTCAGATTAAGTGAGAAACAACCGCCTACCCACCCCACACCCCAGGACAAAGATAGGGTCCCCCTAACCAACTTGCTCAGATTGAAGAAGAAGACAAGTGGTAACTTGGTACTCATCATTAACTCGTTCCGGGAGGCACCATGAGTACCAAAAGCCATGAGCACCAAACCCATTTTTCCCATAAGGAATAATGTACACTAGTGGCTAAAATTGTGGAAACCTTTTGGGAAAAGTGTATTTTCTAAAACTAGCTAATAACACCACTTTTTTCTTTAGGAGTAGTACCATAAAATTATATATCAATGGAAAGATAATTTAATCAAGAATGTAATGTAATAACTTTTATGAAGGATTTGCTATTAGAATAGCAGTTGCAGTATAAAGAAGAAAAGTAAAACAGGTAGAAAAAATAAGAGATACAAAAATGATCACCATAGAAAAAACGAGATACACAAAAAGTATCACCACGTCAGTTAATAGTTGGATAACCTTTAGCATGAATTACAGCCTTACAACATCTTCCCATGGAGTGAGCCAAGTCTTTTAGTTCTGCAGCTCTTATAATGTGAAACCAAAATTGAAGGATTGCTTCTATTAACTGGGTTTTATTGCTGGGTCGCTTCTGACTAACCAGTTTCTTTAGTCGGCTCCCTAGATTTTCAATTGGGTTAAGATCTGGGCTATTCCCAGGCCATTCCAGCAGTGGAATAGGATTATCTTGAAACTCCAAAAAAAAAAAGTGGTGTTATGAGCCATCAAACCTCAAAAATACACTTTTCCCAAAAGGTTTCCACAATTTTGGCCATGACTTTAGTGAGTCACAAGGCAGCCAACATCAACAGTTTCTAGCTTATGCTTTGAATACCAAAGAAACGATGAGTACCGGGGACAACATGTTCGCGTCAAAATGTGCAGAGTACCAAATCTGATGACTTTCAAAAGCAGTTGAGTACCGAGGTACCACTCTACTGGGATAAGCAGCGAAATGTTTCAAACCAATAAGAGAAGGAGTCTCCAGTTGACATGACTCAACTTCCAGACAGTTCTACCTGGATGGGCTGAGAATCTTCATTGGCACTGTAACCACTATACCACACTGTCACCTGAGATGGATTGAACTGTCAAATTACACCGAGCAGCACTGGCTTGGCTAAAGATGCATCACAAGAACTAAAGCCCCTTTACTTTAATTTCTCCCCAAACCAACTCATTTCATCTAGAACACCATTTTCCAACACACAACTCCTTGGTGGCACCAAGATGCCTCCAGAACAGCATTTGTGGCAGGAATCCAGGACCCCTCCCCTCCACTGAATAGATAGGCGCATTTAAAAGATGCTTGCAGTCAATTTTTTTTACATTCCTGCCTAGCGATGCTAAGGAACTAATGACTAGCCAGCATGGATGTTGCATCAGAATAACACAATCTGAGAGTTGGAAGGGACTTTGGAGGTCTTCTAGTCCAACTCCCTGCTCAAGCAGGAGACCCCATACCAATCCAGACAAATGGCTGTCCAGTGTCTTCTGAAAAAGCCTCCAGTGATGGGAGCACCCACAACTTCTGAAGGCAAACCAGTTCCACTGGTTGATTGTTCTCACTGTTAGGAAATTTCTCCTCAATTCCAGGTTAAATAAATAAATAACTTTATTTATTTTAATTTGTTCAACTTGTATGCTGCCTTTCTCTGAAGACTCAAGGCAGCTTACAATGCATTTAAAAACCATATATAAAAACATTAAACATTAAAACATTAAAAACATTAAAACTCATTCACACCATTCATGGCCGGATCTCGCCAGATCGCTACAGCGAGATCAACGGCCCCAGGCCTGCCGGAAAAGCCAGGTCTTCACCGCTTTCCGGAAGGCCAATAGGGTGGGGATGGTCTGGATCCCAGGAGGTAACTGGTTCCAGAGAGCTGGGGCAGCCACAGAGAAGGCCCTCCCTCGCAGGCCCGCCAGCCGGCACTGTTTAGCTGACGGGACCCGGAGGAGACCAACTCTGTGGGATCTTACCGGTCGCTGGGAGCTATGCGGCAGAAGGCGGTCTCGAAGATAACTTATTGTCATTGTATGCGTATACACAGTATACCCATACAACGAAATTCACTTAACACCCAAAGACCAGGTCCAACACACAAAACAATCCCCAAACACACCTCCACCCACCACAAATTCCCCACCCCTAAACCACCCAAACATCCACACAACAGACCAAAGTTGCTCCTCTCCTTGATGAATTTCCACCCATCGTTTCTTGTCCTGCCTTCTGGCGCTTTGGAAAATAAGTTAAACCTCCCCCCCCTCCCTTTTTTTATGGCAAACCCTCAAATATTGGAACACTGCTATCATGTCACCCTTAGTCTCTGAGTCTCTAGCACAGTATTTCTCAATCTGGGCAACTTGAAACTGTGTGGATTTCAACTCCCAGAATTCCTCAGCTGGCTCTTTGAATTTAGAGCAGGGATATCTAACCTTGGCAACCTTCTGACTTGTGGATTTCAATTCCTTAGAATTCCCCCCGGCCGGACAAGTTGGAGAATTCTGGGAGTTGAGTCCGCAAGTCTTAAAGTTGCCAAGGTTGGATACCCCGTGGGCAAAGAAATTCAGAAACTCCAGTTTTAGGAGCCAGGAGTGAGTGATGGGAGAGGAGGGGGATGTGGAAAGCATATTTGGGGGCGACTCTCCGGAAGACTCCTGGGGGGCATTCTAAGGACCCCATCCCAAACACACAGCCTCTTCTCTGCCCCCGTGTGGCGGATCGGAGTTTTGCAACCTGCCCCGGGTTGGAAAAACCAGTCTTGGTGGCACAGCAGACTAAAGTGCTATTAAGTAGCACCAGTTGCCTGCAATTACTGCGAGTTCAAATCTCACCAGGCTCAAGGTTGACTCAGCCTTCCATCCTTTCGAGGTAGGTAAAATGAGGACCCGGATTGTGGGCGCAATAAACTGACTTTGTATAAAAAAAGAACACCGCTTAGTGGGGGCCGAAAGCCCTACTAAGCAGGTATATATAAAAGTATGAAGGCTATTGCTTAACGCATTGTAAGCCGCCCTGAGTCTCCTGAGAAGGGCGGCATATAAATCGAACCAATAAATAAATAAACAAACAAACAAATAAATAAATAAATAAAACCTCCACGCAGCCAAATTTGACCGGAGGATTGCCCCAGGCTCCCTTCGGAGTTGCAAAACTCCGCAGCTCGACTTCCCCTCGCCGTCCTTACCTTCCCCTCCAACTGCACTGATCCTCGGAGTAATTGCAAAAAGCCGGGTCCAAGAGAAGGAGAAGGGCGAGCAAGCGCCGGATCCAAGGCATGCTTCCACGGACTTCCTTGGCGAGGAAGAAAGGAAAAAAAAAAGGAAAGGAAAGGAAAGGAAAGAAGGGAAGGGAAGGGAAGGGAAGGGAAGGGAAGAGAAGAGAAGAGAAGAGAAGAGAAGAGAAGAGAAGAGAAGAGAAGAGAAGAGAAAAGAAAAGAAAAGAAAAGAAAAGAAAAGAAAAGAAAAAAGAAACACGGAACGGTGCAAAGCGCGGAGTTCAAATATAAAGCAAGGGAAGCCGCCTCTGCAAACGCGTGGGAAGCCTCAGCCGCCCCGCCGGCTCTCCATCCCCCATCGCCGCCGCTTTCCCAGCCTTTCCGAGAGGCTTTGGCTTCCGCTGCTCCCCTTTTTCTCGGCGGGGTGGTCGGTGAGCGGACGCAAAGATTCGCTTTCTCGCTCCCGGTGGAAACGGGACGAGAGATGCGCCCGAAGAAGCGCTGGTCGCTTTCCAGCCAAGCTCAGGGATCAGCCGGGGCGGGGCCCGGGAGGAGGGAGGGGGGGAGATCGCCCAATCAGAGCCCGGCTGGGGGACTTGGAGCCAGGGGGGGGGGGGGGGGGGGGGGGGGGGGGGGGGGGGGGGGAAGCCGAAAAGGAGATGGGGAGATAGGATGTGATGCAGCCGTTCGGGAGAACAATGCGATTCAGGCACCCGGAGTGGAAAGAGAGGACCTTGGGGCTCTCTCTGAGCTTGGTTGGGTTTTTTTTTTTTTTTGCAGACGTTTCATTACTTAACCAAGGAACAGCATCAGTGCTAGAAGGGAGTAGGGTTTGTGGAAGAAAAAGAAGAGGAGGAGGAGGAGGAGGGCTAGAGGGTCCTTGGGTTTGTTTGTTTTTTTGCAGACCTTTCATTACCTAACTAGGGAACATCATCAGTGTTAGGAGGAAGTGGGCTTTGTGGAGGAGGAGGAGGAAGAGTATGTATTTATTTATTCATTCATTCATTATTATTTTATTATTTTATTTTATTTTATTTTATTTTATTTTATTTTATTTTATTATTTTATTTTATTTTATTTTATTATTTTATTTTATTTTATTTTATTTTATTTTATTTATTTTATTTTATTATTTTATTTTATTATTTTATTTTATTTTATTTTATTTTATTTTATTTTTTATTTTATTATTTTATTTTATTTTAATTTTATTTTATTATTTTATTTTATTTTATTTTATTTTATTTTATTTATATGCCGCCCTGTCTCCAACAGACTCAGGGCAGCTCACAACAATAAAATCCACAATAACCACAGTACAAAGTTAAAATACCTAATTAAACCAGATAAAAGTTAAAAACCCATATAAAACCCCATCAGTCCAGGCTGGGGGACGATGACGACGACTACTACTACTACTACTACTACTACTACTACTACTATGGGGTCCATGATGCCCTCTGAGCTTGTTTGTTTTCTTGCAGGCGTTTCATTACCTAACTAGGGTACATCATCAGTGTTAGGAGGGAGTGGGGTTCGTGGAGGAAGGGGAAGAGAAGGGAGGAGGAGGACTATGGGGCCTGTGGTGCCCTCTGAGCTTGGTGGTTTTTCCTGCAGATGTTTCATTACCCAAATCCCATTACCCACCAACACTGACAGAGCAAGCCACTAGAATACAAATTGAGAGCAAAGCCCACTCTTTACTGATGATGTTACCTAGTTGGGTAATGAAACGTTTGCAAGAAAACAAACAAGCTCAGAGAGCACCAAGGACCCCATCATAAATATATGCCAGTTGCTAAGTGCCCAAATGTTGATCACTTAACCGCGAGGATGCTGCAACAATTGTAAATGCGAGGACTGGTCATAAGTCATTTTTGTCAGTGTGTTTGTATCTTCAGTTACTAAAAAAATGGTTGTAAGTCAAAGATTACCTGTATTTAGCTATAGAGGCAATTCTCCCTTTCTATTAGGTATCTCCTAAAACTTTGGTATGTGGTGGCTCAGTGGCTAAGATGCTGAGCTTGTCGATCGAAAGGTCGGCAGTTCAGCGGTTCAAATCCCTAGTGCCGCTTAACGGGGTGAGCTCCCGTGACTTATCCCAGCTTCTGCCAACCTAGCAGTTCGAAAGCAAGTAAAAAATGCAAATAGAAAAACAGGGACCACCTTTGGTGGGATGGTAACAGCGTTCCGTGTGCCTTTGGCATTGATTCATGCCGGCCACATGACCACGGAGACGTCTTCGGACAGCGCTGGCTCTTCGGCTTTGAAACGGAGATGAGCACCGCCCCCTAGAGTCAGGAACGACTAGCACATATGTGTGAGGGGAAACTTTACCTTTAACATTTTGGTAAGCAAGTGTGACACTTTTGTGTATTTCTAAATTTTGAATTCTCTTTTTGAGTGGGAAAAACATTGCGCTCATCAGCCAAAAAAAAAATTCCCCAAATGAGTGTGGGTGGGGGAAAAAATACAAAACTTTTTTGGAAATTGTTTTCAGCTTCTTGAAAGATGCCTGTATTTTTCTCCTGGGAGGGGACAAAGGATCAACCTAAAGCTGAAGCGAACAATCTGACTTAATCATCATTTAAAAAAAAAAGGGGGGGTGAATTGAGAGAAAGAACCTGGAGGCAATTAAGCCAGGCCAACGGAAGGTTAGTTGTCCACAAATCCAACCGTGGTTAACTTTTAGTGGTTTTTTTTTTTTTAAAGAGAATTTTCCCACTGCTCGCTTTAGATGTGCTGAGAGCCAGCGTGGATTTATGGGAACGGATCGGCTTGCCAGCCTCTTCTGGTTTCCTGTACTTCCAGTTTTTATATAAATGAGATCTTAGCTGCTCCTTTGCACAAAGCAATCCATTAAAGTCAGCATCTGTTTGTTTAAAGGTTGTTTTCTTTTCGAAGAAGGCTGGGTCAGGGGGAAAGGGGAGTAATCTAGCAATCTCGGTTAAGAACTGCCACAATCTGACTCACATTTTTTGGTCACTAGAGATCGGAGTGGATTAAACCCAAAGGAATTTTTATCCAAGCGCTCTAAAGGATTGAAGTGATGCAGTCTAATGCCGGTGCGATTGACTGATAATATGAATTTTAAAAAACTGGGCCAAACTTCTCTTAGCCTTCTGATGCTTGTTCTGATGATTAACCATCTGAACACCAAAGAAAAAGACCAAAACATTTTCTGAGTTATTAAAAATCAACAACAACACAAGCCTCTTTTCCCAGACAGCCTTGTCCCAGATCCTGCCGTTAATTATTTTTCCACCGGAAAGACTGCCCACCATAATATTTGATGTAAACATGGAACAATTGCAGGGCGATGATTTGGGCTGAGAACAGGGTCCACGGGGAAGTCAAAATGGAATGAAAAATAGACAATGCTACATTTGGAGGGAGCAAAAGGGAGGGGGAGGTGTGCCAGGTCCGGGGGAGGGAAGTGAGAGAAAGTATTCTGGAGGCAGCCTGACACTGGAAGGAATCAATAGGTCGGAAGCCACAGAAAATGGGTGAGAAAGAAAGAAAAAGAAAGAAAGACAGACAGAGAGAGAGAGAGAGAGAGAGAGAGAGAGAGAGAAAGAAAGAAAGAAAGAAAGAAAGAAAGACAGTGAAAGGAAAGAAAGAAACTGAAAGAAAAATGAATGAGAAAGAGAAAGAAAAAAGAAAGAAAAAGAAAGAACAAAAGAAAGAAAGTGAAAGTGTGAGAAAGGGAAAAAAAGAAAGAAAGAAAAGGAAAGAAAGAAAGAAAGAAAGAGAATGAACAAAAGAGAAAGAAAAGGAAAAGAAAGAAAGAACAAAAAGAAATAAAAATAAAAATGTGAAAGACAGAGAAAGGAAAGAAAAAAAAGGAAGAGGAAGAAAGAAAGAATGAAATAGATAGATAGATAGATAGATAGATAGATAGATAGATAGATAGATGAGAGAGACACACACATACAGATATATACATATAGATGATAGAGAGAGGAAGGGAGAGAGAGAGAAAGAAAAAGAAAGAAAGAAAGAAAGAAAGAAAGAAAGAAGATTATAAAGCTTTTAAATCAATCAAAATAAAAAGGCCACAGAGGGAAATTAATGGATATGGCCAGGCCTGCTTTTACTTTCTTGGCCGTTTCATTATTCTTAGCTGAAAATTGGTTGCTACTGAGGAAGAGGCTTTTGATCTTTGATCAATATTAATTTATAATGAGTTGTGTTCCTTAGCGGTCCATATTCAAGCCAGAAAGCAAAATCAAAACAAAACAGATCCTTCCAATGCCTTTATTTGTTTGTTTGTTTTTCGATTTCCATGACTGCCCAACTCAACCAAGGGACTCCGGGCGGCTGACCATTCTTAAAATTTTATAAAACAATCAAAACCATTTTTTTAAAAAAAAAAACATCAGAACAATAAAAAAATAAAACCAACACCCACAAAACAAATACAACGCAGATAGCAGCCGTGAGGATTAACCTTTGCTGGTCCCCCGAGTGGAAATGTCAAAAGAAGAACAAACTTTCAGTCAGAAAGTGTTGCGGAGAAGGGCGAGGAATGTAGTACTCTGTCCACCGTCCGCTCTGTGTACAAGTGGTACAGGTTTTAGAATTAGTTAGAATAACAGAGTTGGAAGGGACCTTGGAGGTCTTCTAGTCCAACCCCCTGCTTAGGCAGGAAGCCCTATACCAGTGATGGCTAACCTTTTTGCCGTCGCCTGCCAATAGCGGGGGGAGGTGAGATGGTTGTGTGAGAGTGGGCCAATACCCATAATTCAATGCACCCTGCCCCCCACACAGGCATGCAAACCCCCCACACTCCCCCCACTTTTGGCACACGATGGCACGGTGGGCCCAGTAGGTCTGTTTTTCGCCCTCCCCGGGCTCCAGAGGCTTTCTAGGAGCCTGGGAAGGGCGAAAACAGCCTTTCTCATCCCCCCCCCCAGGAGGCCCTCCAAAAGACAGAAACAGCCCGTTTGCTGACTTCCAGTGGGACCGGAAGTCCCGTTTTTTGCCCTCTCCGGGCTCCAGAGGCTTTCTAGGAGCCTGGGGAGGGTGAAAACGGGCCTTCCCCTCCCCCACGGAGGCCGGAAACGGCCCGTTTGCTGACTTCCGGTGAGCCCGGAAGGCCCGAAAATCAGATGCATGTGTCGGAGATGAGCTAGGACAACACTCGCGTGCCCACCGATATGGCTCCGCGTGCCACCTGTGGCACATGTTCCATAGGTTCGCCACCACGGCCCTATACCCTTTCAGACAAATGGTTTTCCAATCTCTTCTTAAAAGCTTCCATTGTTGGAGCATTTGTTTTGAGTTCAAATCAGGGGTGAAATGCTCCCGGTTCGGACCAGATTGGCCAATCTGATAGCGATGGCGGCAGGTGGTTCGGTAGCAAAAATCCCTGGCCCTCCCCCTGCCCATGCCCACCCAATCGCCTGGTCCCTCGCTTGCCACTTCTTTTAAAAAATGCTTTTTAAAGGCAAAACAAAGGCTCTAACCATCCCAGCTGAGTGGCGCGATATAAGAG